GTTAAAGATGATCCTTATCCTATTTTAAAGGCAAATTCTTCATTGAAACAGCCTTCTGTTCGAGCCAAGCAGTCAACTATTGAGGCAAATTCTTCATTGAAAAAGCCTATTGCCAGAGGTGATTCACCTTCTGAGCAGGATCACTATTTTAATGCGGTTTCGCCCGCTCTTGCTAGTCCTGATGAAGTTTCATCCTCTTCTAGTTCTGAGGTTTCATCCTCTATTTCTGATAGTGATTCTTTGAAAAATGATCCTCATTCTAAAAACATGTTAATTTATGAACAAGAACATGATCCATCACTCATTGATCTTAATAAAAGATGTCTTACTATTGATGAAGCTGACAAGGTCCCTGTTTGTTTCTACAAAAAGGATGGCATATTAATGCGAAAGTGGAGACCTCCTGAAGCTTCCCCTGAAGATGATTGGGCAATTGTGCATCAAATTGTTGTCCCAAAATCATATCATAAGGAAATCTTGAGTCTAGCTCATGATTCTCCCATGGCAGGTCATTTAGGAGTAACTAAAACATACCATAAAATACTCAATCATTTCTTTTGGCCCAAATTAAAACAAGATGTCCAAGAGTATTGTAGGTCTTGTCATACATGTCAAATGGTAGGGAAACCTAACCAGAAAATTCCAACTGCTCCTTTACACCCTATACCTGCATTCGATGAACCATTTAGTAAGGTTCTTATTGACTGTGTTGGTCCATTACCAAAAACAAAATCTGGTAATCAATATTTACTCACTATTCTTTGTATGGCCACACGGTTTCCAGAAGCGATTCCACTTAGAAATATCAAAGCCAAAAACATAGTGAAATCACTCATCAAATTTTTCACCTTAGTTGGACTACCAAAAGATCTCCAGTCTGATCAGGGCTCAAATTTCATGTCAGGCTTATTCCAACAAGTCATGGATACCTTGGGTATCAAACAGTGTAAGTCAAGTGCCTATCACCCAGAGTCTCAAGGAGCTCTAGAGCGTTACCATCAGACACTTAAGACCATGATTAGAGCTTTCTGTTTTGAATATGAGAAAGACTGGGATGAGGGCATACCCTTGCTTCTGTTTGCTACCAGGGAGGCTAAGCAAGAATCATTAGGGTTCAGTCCATTTGAGCTAGTATTTGGTCATTCTGTGCGTGGTCCACTTAAATTGCTCAAAGAAAAGTGGCTGTCAGAAACTGAAAAGTTTAATCTGCTGAACTATGTCACTGGGTTTAAAGAGCGCCTATCAAAGGCTTGTGAAATAGCCAAAGAAAATTTGCTAAATAGCCAAGATAAAATGAAAACTTGGTATGACAGAAAAGTCAAAGAAAGATCTTTCCAGCCAGGTGACAAAGTTCTTATATTGCTGCCACTTCAGACAAATCCATTACAGGCAAAATTCTATGGTCCTTATGTAGTGGATTCCAAGGTCAATGACCTCAATTATATTGTCAAAACTCCAGATAGGCGCAAAGAAACACAACTGTGTCACATCAATATGATGAAAAAGTACTTTGAGCCAGACAAAGAGCTTGGCTCAGTTAAACCTGTAGTCACTTTGGCACCTGCCCTTGTAAAAGAAACTGATCTACAAGATTCAGATGATATCACTTATACTGATTTGGACTATGAAGATATCAAAGGTTTGTCTAGGTTAAAGAACTCTGAAGTATTATCAAATCTAGATCATAAATTGCATCATGTGACAAATGATCAAAAACAGCAAGTCACAGAATTAATTCATGAGTTCACTGATATCTTCTCTGATGTACCGACTAAGACATCTATAGCTTATCATGATGTTGAAGTCCAAGATGTAACCCCTATTAAGCAACATGCTTATAGAGTAAATCCATCAAAATCTGAAGATTTGAGAGCTGAGGTCAATTATATGTTAGAAAATGACATAATTGAAAAGAGCAATAGCCCATGGAGTTCACCTGCTTTCATTGTACCAAAATCAAATGGTGGACGTAGGCTAGTGGTTAACTATATCAAGGTGAATCGAGTAACAAAGACCGATTCTTATCCAATACCACGAATTGACGACTGCATTGACAAAATTGGAACTGCTAAATATGTTAGTAAATTTGATCTCCTCAAAGGATTCCTAGGGGTTCCATTAACTGAAAGAGCAAAACAGGTATCTGCCTTTGTTACTCCTGATGGTTTGTACCAATTTAAAGTTATGCCATTTGGTATGAAAAATGCACCTGCCACATTTCAAAGAATGATGAATGGCTTATTAGCAGACCTTGAAAACACTGGTGTCTACATCGATGATGTAATTGTCTATTCTGACACTTTTGATGAACACATGTGTTTGCTGCGTAAGTTGTTTGAAAGAATCTCTCTGGCCAATTTAACCATCAATTTGGCTAAGAGTGAATTTTGTAAAGCCACAGTTGAATATCTGGGCCATGTGGTAGGTCAGGGGCAGGTTAAACCAGTGAGTGCCAAAGTGGAGTCAATAACACAACTCCCAGCTCCTACTAATAAGAAAGAATTAATGAGAAGTCTTGGAATGGCTGGCTTTTATAGGAAGTTTTGTCCAAATTTCTCTTCAATTGCTCTTCCGTTGACCAATTTACTTGGGAAAAACATCAAATATGTGTGGTCTGAGCAATGTCATACAGCCTTTGATAAAATCAAGGCCATACTAAGTGAAGAACCAGTGCTTGTTGCACCTGATTTTAGCAAGCCATTCAAGATCCAAGTAGATGCTTCTGATGTAGGAATGGGAGCTGTCCTATTACAAGAAAAGGATGGTATTGATCATCCAGTGTGTTATTATTCAAAGAAATTTGATAAACATCAGAGAAACTACTCCACCATAGAAAAGGAATGTCTAGCATTACTTCTGTCATTACAGCATTTTGAAGTATATGTTAGTTCACCAGTTCATGCAGTTACTGTATTTACTGACCATAATCCGCTGACATTCCTTCATAGAATGAAGAACAAGAATCGTAGATTGTTGAGGTGGAGTCTGTTATTGTCAGAGTACAATCTTGACATAAGACACATAAAAGGCAAGGATAATTTAATTGCTGATACTCTTTCAAGAGTGTAATACCTCTATTTCTAAGAGGCTATTTGACTTATACTGCATATGCTTAAGGCTTTGTGCTAATATAATATAATAAAAAGATTGTACTTCGAGTGTGATTTGATAATATTATTATAATATGCTTTTGGGTTTTACTCAGTCTATAACTATATAAATAGTATTGCATTTGACTATTGTAAATAAATGTTATGTAAGTCTCAACCTCATCTTTGAAAAATTGTAACCCTCACCACACCAGATATTATTGTAAAAGTTTTTCATTATATTCAAACTTTTCTTTTAAGGAGGGAGGTGTTACAGTATTATGTTCTATCATATTCACATTAAGTTTAGTTTATCTATATGTATATACTGTAACTGATCTTTATTAGAGATCTTGGGTCAAGGTCACAATGACATTATACACAGAACTGAACTGAATGACTCGTTAACTCTTGACCATCCAGAGAGTTCTAGAAAATATAACCATTCATTAAGACTTAATCATGTGACTGGAGATGTCCAATCAAAACTCAACAAGTAGTCTCAGTTCCAGAAGATTCTTTCTAGATGATTCTTTCACACTATAAATAAAACTGCAAAGTGGACTCAGTAGCAGATAATTAAGTAATCATAACTGGACATCTCAAGGGAACTAAATAAAGCAGAATTTCAAAGTTGATCAAAGGACATCTTCTTAGCTGAATATTACAGACACCTACTGTGGGAACATTTATAACACTAAAACACACAACCTGAGGACTTTATATGGACATATATTACAACACACACTATATACGGATTATCATATACATTCGTGGATTATCATAAACATTTGTGGATTATCATCAAACATTTGTGGATTATCATCAAACATTATTGGATACGAACATTATAGGATTACGACGAACATTATTTGATTATTACAAACATTGGAGAACTATTAACGATTATTGAAACTTTCGTGATCTGGAACATTCTCAAGGATCGTCAACGACATTTATCTACATATCATAAGTATTGACTTTTATATATTATTGTTATCGTTTTTTTTGGTTTTCAAAAATATATTACTGTACATTGTTATATTTTAATTGCTGTTTTTTACTTTCTGTTATTTTCGAACGTAACATTATGGAGGGTTGAACAAATGCAAATAAAAATGTCCCCATATATGTACATACTTACCAAGTGTCAATGTAAACCTATATGATTCTCGTTTTACTAATTCAAACGTTCATTACATACATTGTTTTCTGAAATTAAACCAAGACGTCACCTAGAAAATCATCTTATTAACGTTTTTAGATATGTTCAAAACAACGTAATAAACATACAATGACTAAATGACTAAATTCCAGGGAAGGAAATTTTCTTTATTTTCGGTTCTAAGAGTTTTGCTGTTATTGTAACATTATAATAATCATTCAAAATACTCGACAAGAAGGAGATATATTCAATGAAACCCATGCCGTTTCTATTAGGAAAACACAACAATTATTATTGTTCAATGATTTTCTCTTTGCACCCGGTATTATATGGGTACTAAGAAATGTATATCTTAATGCGATTATTTTATCCACTTTAGCTTTAAAATGTTTGTTGATCGGATTCATAAGTTTTCACCAAATTATCTTTTATCAAATATGAAAGCATACGATTGGTCTAACAACTGGCCAAACGTAACTTCCATGATTCTCTGTCATTTACTTGCACTGACCATATTATAGACAGTATACGTACTGCCAAAGCCAAGTGTAGACACATTTAAGCATTATATATAGAGAAGGTAATTATATTTATGATCTGTTTATTTTAATCCGTATAATATTGTATATCAGTCCACCATAGTGATCAAACAACAGTCGTTTTTAAATTTTCACACACACACCTGACACCATCCTGCTTTTTCATATCATTTTCATAAGCATTTAAAAAATTTCATGACATTATAGTGGAATAAAGAAACAACACCAAGAATTCTTAAGACAAGAAGACCCTAGATATGGTGTTAAACTTAAAAAGATTGGCAGACGCAGAGTTTTCAGTGTAATTTATATTTTGATGATATTGTATATCCGTGGTATAAATAATAGTATTGTGTACTATGAGGTGATCCATCAAAGAAGTAGCGTCAAAGATGTTATCAATTCAATATTACTTGACCAATTTTCATGAAAATTAGTACAGATGTATTCCACACATTATTCAAAATTCAAAGTAACTCAAGAATAAATAGAATTTCACGCTTACTATGGTATCCAGATGTGACGGCATCCGGGGCAAATTGTTTGTTTTGGTATGAAACGGAATAAAAAAAAATCAGAAATAGATGTTAGTATCAACAATTTTGTTTTTATCAAAATCATGAACATCATATCGCACTATCATTATTGTGATATTAATCACATAACTGCCTCAATTGGCACTGCGTGTTTCATGTTGTAGTTATCAACTTGTTATCTAATCATCTAGACATTGTTTTTTCACGTTAAATCATGGTTTGGGATGGGTGGGTTTTTTCCTTATGTCCATTCAACAATGCATGTTTGGATAACACCAATCCCAAGTTTCAAGGTGTTTGGCCGAATGATATTGAAATGACGACATCTTTCACATTATTTTTGGATCTCCCTGTACATACGCATTGCTATTTAAATGTCTATTAAATAGCCTTTTATATACATGTTTACAGTGATTACATTATTCTACTTATTTGCAATTACAGTCGTCGTTCCTCAATCTATTTCCTATAAACAATAAAAAGATTAATATTTATTCATAACTATTTTATCTGGAGCTATTTTATTCAAACTTTAGCATGTATACTTCAGATATATACATGCAGTGTACATAGCTAAGCATGGGACTTTGGGAACACATTTTACATTTTGGGGGTCCTATCGTGTCATGCAATCTATCATACTGAAATATAGTTTAAAACGCGAATTATTGAAATTGCGATATGAGTTCACTTGAATCATGTGATTAGCTCCTAAGCAATAACAAAATGAGGAACATTGCAATATGTTATAGTAAACATGTATATATTAGTACGTAGATTATCAATTTTAGTATGCATAGAAATAAGCACGTAATTTACAAGATAAATGTTTGTAGACAAAGCAAGAAGGCCAATGTAAAGATAATGTATGATAAATATGTTTCCAAAATATTTTGTTATAGTATGAAATATAAATGACGAATTAAATCCGGAATTCGGTTCAAACAAAGCATAAAATTTGTTGGGATACTTTATAAAGCATATAATCTGCTAATCTGCTTTGAACTCTAAAATATCAAGTGTATAACCATTGTAATATTCTGACTTTCGTATTTTGATTTTGAATATTTGCTAGTGTCAAATGCAGCAATAAAGAATTCTTACATTTTGCCCCATTATGATATGGCCTTGTTTTTAACAAAATATTTCATTCAATTCATTATGCTCATCTGATCATTAGTCAGTCATACCCTTCACATACACTGTCATTTTGTTGTCATGTGATTAGGCAAATCACATGACACAATACATTTGTTATAAACACACTTTTAAAATCTGATTTGGCTAAAAATCGCGAAAAGCTAGTGTACGAAACCTGAAATATGAATTTCTTAATAAATGCCCTTGCTTTCCTGTTATTCAGATGTAAGATAGAGAATCACGGTGTTTTTACGTTGGCCTTTGTCGTGCTTTGGGTGTCCTTGGGTGCTTTAATCGTTGCTTTGCTTTTCTCCCTCAATCGTGTACAGAAAACAACGTTCTTGATATGACATTTAAAACTAACCTCAATGAGTGATCATGAACATTCACTGAACTGACAACAATAAGTCCATATCTACGTTCTAAATATACTGCATTATTGTGTGGTAAATATCAAAGGTAGTGAGCAAGATTGCCCTTTCTACTTAGTCACTCTGAAATAAGCCTCGTGAAATATATACTTCAATATTACGATTGATATACGTTTAAAGTTCCCAAAGCATCCATTGCGATTCAAATGATATCATGATAACTATAATGACGTTGTTTTCTTTCAGTGACGTTGACATTGCTTTTTTCCAGTGGCCTTGGCGCAAGTCATTTTGAATTCAGACGCGTTGACGGTCAGAGGCGTCGTGTTAAAGGAGTCAGTTACTGGCATTTTGCTCATGACTAAATCGTAACCTGGTAACGCCTTCATGTATACTATACATAAAATAATTGTAAAATAATGTTGATGATACGTTAAGGGGGAAACATATTGATCCACCAATGCAAATGATGGTATTCGCCACAGAGTTCTCTTTATATCAGGTGTTACATGTATCGGCAACATGTCTCTAGGCACCAAAAGGTGATATAAAACACTAATTGAATCCCTAGATATGAGGATATCATCCTCATTATAATGTATATAGTATATATGAAGTACCACTTTGCGTCTTAGTCAGTCATTAGCATACATGTATAACATTTGTGTGCCTGTTCTTTGTCTCAAGCATGTGTAACTTTAACTTATATAATGACGCTGGGGAACACGGCCATTGATTTACAGGGCGTCCACAAAAAGTATACCCAAATTCAAAGCCAGGATACCACGATAAGGTCTAGTTTTTCCTCCATCAAATGGTACCTAGATCATAATGGAACTGTCATGGATGACTGAGCAATCATGACTTATGAAAGGTGGTAAAATCGCCACTGTGCCAAGTTAGCATTCAAGTAGGATTGACACATGAATGTTTAAAACATTATTAATGTTCAAATTCAAACTTGTTTCATGTTCTTCAAGCTTTTTGCATAATTTAACTTTTTAGTGTTACCTCCCTCTCGGCGAACTGGATTACAAGATCCTCTTGAACAGCATGCAATGGAACTTCTATATGATGATATCCAGCTTTGAAGTCGATTCTATCCCCCGTTTATTTCAACACTCTTGCTGAAATCCTCATTTTCTCAGAAGAACTAAAGTTGATTGAGTTTCAACAAGTAAATTCATGTGGGACAGTATTGCTAGAATCCATTTTCAATAGTTAGAATAGGGGTTCTTAAACAGCTCACTGGACTTGCCTTTTAGAACCTTTTGTTGGCTCTACTGCTCGGGTGTTAGTTGAACCATGCTTGCAGTCCTATTTTAGAATGGGTTAAGCTTTTTGCAAAACCTTTTTTTCATAAGAGAGTCCAGTTCATTATAAAAGTCCTGTCTTCTAATATAATGTAACAGAAAAAGAATACTTGACCAATTACACATCGATTGCCACAGCACTAATTTTACCACCTATCAGAATGGTTTTGATTGCTCAGTCATACATGACATTTACCTAATGTTCTAGGTACCATTTGTTGGAGGACAAATAAGGCTTTTTGCTGTTACCTTTGTATTTCAAAAAATTGCTCAAGGTCCTAGTAGTTTGCTTTTGAGGTTTGGTTTTTGTGGACGCTCTGTAAAAACCCGGAGTATATTCTCATTGAATGACTATATGCATCACCCATCCGTTTGGAATGGTTTACAATCACGTGTGACCTTCAACCTAAATTTAAGAACATTCCTATGCGAATGTGAATATTCATTTGGTCTAAAATAATCCTTTTCCCCTCTATGATCTCTTCGTTACTAGGTTATATTTTATTAGGGCTTGAAGTGGTCATTCGAAGGAGGCTATAATTCCTGGATGACCAACCTTTACTACCCATTTTCCACTGGACAGGGGGTCGTATTGTGCATTAAAAAGCCACTATTGTATAGGTTTATTTACTGTTTCTTTTTTCATCTAAAGAGGGATTCAAAAGAGTCACTATGAGTTTGAGCGAATTGAAGGAAACCGAAGACGGGTCAAACGGGTAAATTTCGTGTCATGCTTCTCTATAAATCCATTTCTCATTTTGGAGTTCTTCTGTATACACACCTCCAAAGATTTGGCAACCTCGACTCCCAGTTTATCATGATCCAGTGCCGGTTTCTTATTGTCTGTCTTCGATTACAATATGTCACATTTATTTACAGACTTAAACACCTTGTCCTTTTGGGTCATTGGGGTTGCCAAACTTTTAGAATTTATGAGGATTGTATAAATGCTTAACCCCAATGTAATTACATCATCATGAGACATGTTTATATTCATCTATAAAAGCACATAAATGCTTAGCCTCAATGTAATCACATCATCGTGAGAAATGATTATACTATATTCATCTATAAAACCACATAAATGCTTAACCCTAATGTAATCATATTATCATTAGAAATGTTTATACTATACAAGGGCCGATCAAAAAGTTTCTTACCGTTGGCTCTCAATTTTATAATAAGGGGAGTTGGATGCTCAAACTTTTACATAAGACAGGGTAGTAAGTGTGCTTGAGACTGTCTGAGTTTCATTTAAATTGGTTCATTGGTAGTGACACAGAGTCCATACATATTTTCAATGATTGAATTGTGCTCAGCTGCAGTTTTGGAATTTTCTTACACTAATGAAACTAACTAATGAAATCTGTCAACAGACTGTAGTTTAATCATGTTTAATTAGTTATTATGCTAATATTCATTCTCATTCAAAATATTCAACCCCAGTTGTAATGCACTTCCTATATCTGTCCACTCGATCCAAAAACACATGTTTAAGGCCTTCGTATGAGAGGTTTGAGACATGTCGGTAAATTTCCAGAACCACAACTCGGCAGATATTTTATAGTTATAACGCTACTCCACCTTACTTTGTCATTGAAAATATGAATTGACTCTGTGTCACTACCAATAAACCAATTTATAGGAAACTCGTACAGTTTCAAGCAAACTAACTATCCTGTCTCATGTTAAAGTTTTAGCTTCCAACTCCTCTTATTATAAAATTGAGAGACAACGGTAAGAAATCTTTTGATCGGCCCTTGTATTCATCTATAAAAGCACATATATGCTTAACCCCAATGTAATCACATCATTATGAGAAATGTTTATACTATATTTAAGGAATAAAGAACGAGATTTTATGATTTACGGCGTAATATAAGATTTTATTCTGTTCATTGTTAAAAGACCGAAATTGCGTAGCGATTGAGGTCTTTGGCAATGGCCAGGATTAAATTCGAGGTCATATATTTGACATAAATCATAAAATCGAGGTCTTTGTTACGATTCTTATATGATAAACATACAAGAAACACAACTATTTTCATTTATGAGTTTTAGAGGTCATACATACTCCAATATAGACCAATTTATCAATTGTTCTAGCTATTGTGACGTCACCTATCATATTAGAATCATCTATAAAAGCACATAAATGCTTAACCCCAATGTAATTACAGCATCATAAGAAATGTTTAAAGTATATTCATCTATAAAAGCACATAAATGCTTTACCCCAATGTAATCACATCATCATGAGAAATGTTTAGAATGTATCCATCTATAAAAGCACATCATATAACTATGTTCATAACATACATTCATTAAATCATTCATTTTAGTGGTGTACACAAATTTCATTCTGAGTTCAGGCGAAATGATGGAAAGCGTCGGAGGATTAAACGGGTAACACTGGCCTTTGCAAACTGTTTATCAACCTTAACACGTGATCATGATTGATTGCGTACTCATGTATCATGTGACAAGAAATCCGTAATGAAGTTGTATTATATTGTATTGGAACCATATTAAATTTAAACCATGGATGTTTTGACATCATAGTAAGAGATTAACTGACTTTGGAAGTCTTAACTTCATTGACGATTCTGTGAATGAGATTAATATTTGTAGAAAAAAACCTTAGTTAACATACAGTATAGTGCATGTAAATATAGTCTTTCAATATAGAATATAGTCAACCATCAGTGAGGTGACCAACAAGGTGATTCAAGTATAGATGTAACGTCATTGATAATACTCGCTCGTGAACATATGATCATTCAAGGGCGGACAGATCTGATAGAACAGCCTTTGGTCGCCATCTATCACCCGCTACAGAATGGGATGGTTGAGTCGAAAATACTGAAGTCCGCTGCTTACGCTATATTTCCAAATATGTCCCCGCATCTCCATTCTCTATTTGCGAAAGTTATCAGCTGCTTCTGTGCTGATCACGAATTTCCTTTATCCTCGAGTGGATATTTTCTACCAGAAAAGAAAATGGTAGTTTTTGACGATAATTTAATCAGTATCAAATTGATGAACTTCTGGTAACCCTCATTCAAAAATCTCAGGAAATTTTGAACGCTACTCTGTGAATTTCCGTCAAGACCGCCATTTTGGACAATGGAGAACATTTTGGGAATATAAAGTAAGCAGTTGATTTCAGTATTTCAGTCTCAATCGTCATGATTTTGTAGCAGGTGATAGCTGGCGAGCAAAGATTGTTTTGTCAGCTCAGTCAGCGTTTGAAAGAGGTAACCCAAAGTATCGCTGCATATTATCATTTGTCTTATTAGTAGTCGTTTGCATAGTATTGTCTAACTACTGTAAATGCATCGTTGATATGTTTTATAAATTGTCAAGCATCATGCCATTCGATGAATTGTACAGTAAACGTCGTCATGGTCAAATGAATAGGTCTATTGATCAACTAGCATGCATTCGAAGCAACCGCTGCAATGTTGTGAAGTGGTGGACTGGTTTATTGTATGGTGGGGGAAGTTATTTTAACGTCTTCCGTTTGTATATGTTGTATTAAATGTAGTATGTCAAGTATACAGCGTGAAACAAAATGCCACCCACTAATTTTGGAATATCTTAATAATGAAGGAATCTTCGTGATCACTTGTGTGTAGATAGTGTGTTCAATGAGGGAAAGTCTGTGCAGCATCAACAACTTTGAAAAGAGATATTATGTTTTCCGTCCAGGTATGTTCTCTTTGAAATCGTCAAAAAATTTCGATTTCTGTCTAAGCCACTATTTGAGTCATTTCTGGATTCCCATCTCATAAATTATCATGTAATATATACTCTTAGATTACTTTGTCAAATTTGATGAACTGACTCGCTTATTAGATTTTCTCATTTACATTTTTGAGTGATTTTGTGTCAGAGCATGCCTTCACATAAAATGAGATATCTCCTAAATTCCAATTTGTTGATGCTATACTCTATCTACAAATAAAAATCATGAAGTTTCCTTCGATCATTGAGAAAGTTATTCAAAAATAAGTGAGTTGCATTTTTGTGTCACCCTGTACATTAGACATTTATTGATACACTAAAGTACGATGCAAAATATAATATATGTACAATATCACATATATGTAAAGTGAGTTATAGTACTTTCTCGAAAATAAACAATAACATGTTATTTAACGTCACAATTGTTTAACGACGCAAATATGAAAATTGCAGACACAAAGAAAGTCAATGTCGTCCTGGATTTATTTCACGGAATATATCAACAAAAAAATACAACAGTAAAATATTATATTGGAACAACAGTAAAAATAAATATAGGATTTTACTTATTTGGACTACAACATGTTACTGTTCGTATTTAACTTGTAGGGTATTAACACCATCACAACCTCTGATTTCAAAGAAGACACCAATGGGCATGGGACGGCAGTTGCTGGTGAGTTTACGGAACATTGTGATGTATTTTGAGACCATCATTTGATCCAGTTATTTATTTTTTATTTAGTTTACATGGCATTTTTTGTGGTAATCCAATCGATGATCCCTGCAACGTCAAAATATTGAAGATTATTTTTACCATTATGTTTTGTTTTACAAACGACATAAGGTACGAACTAGTAAATATGTAAAAGTGCATATCATAAATCAACCCTCGTACGTAAGCACGCTATTCGCATGTGCACAATGACCGACATTATTTTTGTGCATCAGACATGGAATATTGGTTTGTTTTAATTTTGAACGGTTCAGCTCTAAGAAGTTTCTTCTAGTTTGTGTTTTTCGAAGTACACTTCTGTTTTTCCTTTGGCATTACATACATATATGTATTTACACCTAAATAAACATTGCAGTTACTCTTCATTTATTTCCATGTAACAAATTTTTCTCTAAAATGTTTCTTTTTTGCTATGTTATGTAATGCTGTTTGGTCTTTTCTGTATGTATGATCCCATATATAGGTGTATATTGGTGTTTTCATATTGTAGCCATCATTGGAGGTAGGACTCTTGGTGTTGCTAAGCAAACCATTCTCCATCCTGTCAAAGTTATGGACCGCAATGTTAGAGGTGAAATCGTTGGGACAATAGGGTGAGAAACATTCAACCTATGCCAAATCAAGCTTCAATTTCTCTTAATAGCGAAATATTGTTTGGGCAACGTAAAATGCATTGCAGTAGAAGGGAAAAGTAGAATGCATCATTTATTTCAAAACCTGTTTATTTATTTATTTTTTCAAAACCTGTTTATACTCTGCATTAAGATCTGTAAATGATGAGACTAATCAACGTCACGGCATGTAAACATTCATAAAGTTATTCAATTGCTATATTGTGTCTGTCAACTTTTTAGTTTACCTTATGTAAAAGGAAGGTGGTATTGACGTGTCCGGGTTACTATGTTTTGATTAAATATTACTATATTTCCAGGAGTGTTATTCGAGGAATTGCATTTGTGCTTGCAATGGAGAATGAAGAGAGGAAAAAGGAAAGAAAAGTTATTGTCAAGTATGTTTGAGAACCACTAAGAATCTTTATTCATTGTCTACAGGTTTATCATCATTCCCAGAAAAGCATTCCACTATATTAAAATACTTAGTTTCAACACAAAAAAACACTAATGTTAATCATTTATGCATGTCATGTATCGTGTGTCATGCATTCAAAATAAATCTGTTTTAGTATGTCATTGAAAACTGGATTTAGCAGGCTACTTAACGCTGCTGTACAGGAATTACTTGATAGTGTAAGTAACTGGTTTTCTATAGAATAATGAATCATATTATCTTAGGTTATCTTGTTGCGTTATGTTAACTACCAAATATAAATACAAAACAGATTATCAGATACAATTATCCAACTGCTTATGAAAACACTTTTGAAATGTGTTTCCTAAGTCATGTGAAGAACACGGACCAATCGGGGAGTAATGAATGTGGCAGTAATATTATTTTATTATAATTTTCAGGGTATAACTGTAACAGCTGCTGCCGGAAATGACGCAGGAGATGCGTGCGAGGTTTCACCTGCCTCGCTAGATGGCGTGTATGTAGTTTACTGAATATTCGATTAGAGTTAAAAGAAGTGATAGAATTCTGGATGCTTTTTACTATATGTATATAAATAACAATCTTCATCAGAATGTATTCATTGTCAGGATAAGATAAGATAATCACAGTCTTTTTAGAATATGATCCTAGATTTGGAATTTCGTCGAAAAGTGGGATTAGATTCATACGGAAATAAGCATTTAAAGGCAGAATCAGATCTAGCGATTATTTTGCTTACTTTGGTGCTTCACCTTGACAAATATTGTTTCAATTTTAGAATATTTTGGGGTCATATCATTTCTTTCATATTTTATTTTTAATGATATACTTTATTTACAATAATGCAATCATTTATCTATACGAATGGTTACCATTCTTATTATTTTGGAGAATTTAAATATTTTCCTCCATTTTTGCACTTTGAATCTTAAATAACTTCACCAATTGATAAAACATCACGGATCTTTTGGGAGACGTTCTATTTGAGCTTGTGAGGAATACATTTGTACATCATTGTCGATATCACTTGCAATTTTGTCACTTCCTATGGATCTGATTCTACCTTTAAGCAAGGAACTACTTCATACAATAACGAATATATGTTTTTTCAGTATATCGGTTTCTGCAGCAACAAGGAGAGACGAGCTACATTATTCAACCAACAGAGGGAGATGTGTAGATATAGCTGCCCCGGTACGTGCATTTTTCCTGATTAATTTTATTGAAAAAATATACGGTCATAATAACTGACGAGTCCGATATAAGCCAGGTCAATAAATGTTGCCCCATTGTTTAAAATTATTGCAGGATGTTGGTTCCATTGTGTTATAGTCTTAATTATGTATATACAGGGTGTTCCAAAAGTAACAGGACTGGTGCTGGCATCTTGTTGAATATGCACCAATCATCTTCAAAATTTTACATGATGTACTTCCATGTATTGTTACTAAGACTGCACAGTTTCGACAAAAATTATGAAACTTGGGTAGAGTTATGGTTGCTATGATAACATGACATCACACTACCCGGGGCAACATTCCACGCAGAAAGTTACAGAGACTTTAAGCATTTTGTACATCCCTTATCAAAGCTAGAATCCAACAACTGGTGGGAATTGCATTGGCTAAATACATCATTTGATATTCCTATGAATCCTCTACTTTGAAAAGTAGGGTCCTCTTTGGTCAGTCCAAGAGTAGCACTCAGTATCCATGACTCAAACACATGAGTAAACCCATTTGATGACATGTCACGCAGGGTCAATAGGACAACTTGGAGAAGGTCATCCTCATCTTTAACGGTCTTACCGCGCTGATTAGCATTCCATTCTCCAAATAAAAGTAAAAAATTAGATATTGCATGATCAGAAGAGTATAGTGCATGGTATTAGACCTCAAGACCTAGCTCCGCTATAGCTGCAGCGGGCTTTAATTCTGACTTGCGGGCAGACGCCTTATCAAGGTGGATAATTGGCTTAAAATTGCGTCTTTTCAAAAACTCAATCGTAAATTGTGCAGACTGTTATACATGATGATATTTCAGGAAATTGAATAAATATTATTATTATGAAATCATACTTGAATCTGAGTTGTATAGCAACACCATTACTATAAAGCAACTAATAAAACAAACAAGAAATGTTGTATTGTAATAGGTGAATCAGATACTTTCTTCAGTAATATAAAAATGTTAGATATTACATTTTCGTGAAAAAGTTGCCCCGGGTATCGTAATGTCACGTTACTATAGTAACCATAACTTTACCCGCATTTTATCATTTTTTCTGAAACTTTACAATTTTAGTTGCACTACTTCAAGGTACCATTTGTGAAAATTTGAACACACTCGGTGCAGAATTGACAAAATGCCAGCACCAGTCCTGTTACTTTTGGAACACCCTGTACCTGTACTTTTATGATGCAAAATAAATACTGATTTTTTCTATCTATATTGGGTAGTGTTAAGTTTTCATATGATACAGCATAACAGCAATGAAACTTTGTTGCATTATTACCCGATCGAGAGTGATATATTAACATATCACATCGAGGTATTCCATGTGCCGAATTATTAACTAGTTCTGTGACATGGTCTGGCGATTCACAATCATTATCCTACACTTAGTGTACTAAATGTATAATAACATCAAAAAATAAATTTGATATTTATTGGCAAAATGAATAACCGGAGGATATCGTGATGATATACTCCGGGCGGAGGATATCGTGACGATATACTCCGGAAACCCCAATATGCGGAGGATATTGTGACGATATACTCCGCTTGTTTATTTCCCGCCAAATTGACTCTATTTGACATGAAAGTCATTTTGCAATGATATTATACATTTAGTACACTCTTTGTAATTGTAGGATAATAAAAACATCCTATGATTTATTTTAGAATATCATTTTAATCTACTCGGTGATATTGATATATGCCCTCCTTCGCTTTGCTCTCTCGTGCAGATATCAATATCATAAATATAAAAATGATATTCCTCAAAATCATAAGATATCCTATAAATATTTATTGAGATGTAGTAAATATATTATATATAAGCTTCTTTCTCCTAGGGTGAACAAATAAAGAGTGCTTCCATTCTGTGTAATACGTGTACAGGGACATTCACTGGCTCATCTTTTGCCACTGGATTCGTGGTACGTTTGAAATAGGTTGTAAAAAGTAGAACTACACTATAATACTGAATATGCTTAATATATATGTATGTTAAAGTGATGCCTAATTATAATGATGGGGGATTTTGATAAAAGAGCAAGATTTGCTAATGCTGATATTCACTTAACAATCTTTGAATAGGGATGCTAATTTGCTTTTCCAGATGTATTTCTTTATATAACTAATAATAACAATGATACTTTTCGCAAGAAATCTTATTATCACAAATGTTTATAAAAGATGCAAAATAAATAATTGTGATGTACATTGTATTTCAGACTGGGGCCATTGCCGGCTATATGAGTCAACAAAGCAACGTGATCAGTCCCGAAGAGGCAAAGCGGTGGATTGTTAATAAGTAAGTTTTGATTACATGCCAATGCTGCAAAAATGTGCGCTATGGGTCGCAATGATTTTACAATTACAAAGAATGGTAATCTAGTTACTGTAGTTCCTGCCAACAGATTATAGATAACCATTGCACCACTTAAAAAACATATTTCTTAGGTGAATAATGTAAATGACAATGGTTCTCATTGCAATGTTCTGTTGTTTTTTTTGTTTTCAGTGCATTCAAGAAGAACAATCTGAGCTTCCTTCGTATTGCTGGTTGTACTCCAAATAAAAGATGATCATGGAAATAAAATGTCATAGAGACAATCATAAATATAAATGATAATTTGTTTCCTATTACCGATTAGACCAAGGAATAAAGTTTCAATATATAGGCTCTTAAGACAATCATAAAAAACAGAAAGGTATCTTCCTTATACTGTACGAATTTCCCCGTTATACTTTAATGGTTAGCCCATGGCAGTGATGGGCTATCTGTCCTTATACAATTAAACTAAGGAAAGTTAAACATCAGAAGTTTCTTTCCTATGCGAATTGCCTAGTCATACTCTAATTAGACCAAGATATACAGTTTCTAAAAGACAATCATATGAACATCAGAGAGTCTCTTTCCGATGAGAATTGCCCAGTAATACTTTAATTGTTTCTAAAAGACAATCATATGAACATCAGAAAAGTGTCTTCCATAAACGAAGATCCCGAAATATCCCGTAATTCTTTATTTCGACCAAGATATACAGTTTTCCATTAGACGACCATGAACATAAGAAAAGTCCCACACTAGAAACTAGCACGTATATAAAATGAAGCAAACATTCTCGAATGATTAACAGTTTCATGCTTTGATAATAGTTGATGTACTTCTCCATGGAAATTTTGAAATACCATATCCACTGTAGATACTTTATAAGCTATGAAATAAAGAAAATCTAATCTGAAAAAGTGTTTCCATTGTTATTGCCTATAGTATTATTAATAACAATTGCGCATGAATAGAAAAGAAAAAAAATATTCGAATGCAATACCTTACTAGCATACAGAATCGACTTTTGAATGAAACAGAACTTAATTAATAAATTCTTTGAAATGTCAACTCAGTTTCTTATTTTTCTCTAATCCACTTAATCAATTATCAACTGCACCGAGCTGAAATATTGTCCATTGGATAACAATGTGTCCGATGTATATGTCTCCAACTAATGCCTGGAAAAAACGTATGTTCTACAATACCATCATACCAAATATATTTTAATTATACATTATACTATTGGATATTTAAAATGTTATGCTGTAACACTGCAATGATATCTCTAATCGTATTACACATTACATGATGGAACAATAACATTCGAATTAATGATGGTAATGTTCAAAAGGTTTAAACACACTATAAGTATGATACCTGGAAAAGCCTATAAATAAAACAGTATTATATTCGGTGTACTAGTAATCTAGATGATGTAAACAGATCTTAAACAGATCTTAACATGATTACAATATCGATAAAAAAGAATATTTTTACATAAAAATAGATGGCATCTCGAATAGTGCCATCTATTACTCAAAATTTCATGGAAAAGTATCAAGTATTGGGTAAGATAGAGCAAACAGTGAATTACTTGATTTAATAATCTTAAAGGCTCCATATAAAGTTTAAACCATAAATAAACCATGTAAATGTTACTTTGTGCACTTATCGTGTGAGACTAGCTATTTGTATCAGAGACATTTTTGCCTCGCTTTCGATTTTTGACTCGTCGAAAGAAAAACAATTGCCTCATTCCACCCTTACCTTGTCAAATCCGAGCAACGAACGCCACTGAAATATGTACCAATATATATGAACATACTGTAAAAAGCTTTTTAAACAAGTATACTAACAGTACTGTTCCTTGGCTATCATAAAAATAGCTCTTAAATCGTCTATATGAGTTCAATAGTCGTCACCTTCGAACAAGGCATGCATTTTTCCTAAAAAACATTTAACATTTTTATTTATACATTTTAAATTTATCTTTAATTATAGATGTCACCCTTTACATATATTTTCTTAACATGATCAAATATCGATAAAAAGAATATTTTTACATCAAAATAGATGGCATCTCGAATAGTGCTTAACAGGCTAATACGATCATTTACTCAAAATTTCATGGAAAAGTATCAAGTATTGGGTAAGATAGAGCAAACAGTGAATTACTTGATTTAATAATCTTAAAGGCTCCATATAAAGTTTAAACCATCCTGGATTATATTATAGTCCTACAAAATGTTATAAAAATGTACAGTACAATTTTAAATGTTTGGAACTACTTTGAATCTAAAAGATAAGCAATTAATTATAGTAAAGGACCATATTGAAACAGAATATGTAAAAATTGAAACATTAATACATGTCCTAACTTTTGTATATTCTAGTTTGTTTTGTAGTTTAGCTATCATATCTGGGGCCTCTTATATTTTGATGCTTCTCTGCCATGTTATTTTCGAAAAAATAACATTGCTGAAACTCCCTGAATTGCAAAAGGCCACAGCTTTGCTGCACAATATTCATAACTATCTGAAAGGACGATTCTCGGTTTGGAGAACCAAGTTCATCAATCTAAATGAGCATTATCCCTGCTTCGGACAAATTTGATTTTTTTTACATAATATAGATTTGAATGTCCTCTTTTGAATAGTCATAATTTAATTTGGATAATATTTCTAGATTTTTCGCAAAAAAATATTAGTGTAGTACACTGATGAACTTCTTTCCCCAAATCGAGACTTGTATTTTATTGAATCGGTCTAATTGAGCGTTATCCCTGCTTCAGACCAATTTGTTATTTTTACATCTTGTAGATTTAAATGTCCTCTTTTGAATATTCATAGTTTAATTTGGGTAATATTTCTATATTTTTCATGAAAAAAATTATTAGCCCAGGAGACTGTTCTCCAAACCGAGAATCGTCCTTTACAAAGTTAGGACTTGTACATATGTCTCCATTTTTCATATCCGTTGCAATATATAGCCATTTGATTGCTTATTTTTTTAAATCAAAGAGGTTCCAAATATTTAAAATTTTACTGTAACCTTTAAATTCAAATTCAAAAAGGTGATTTTGAAGTATTTTTTTGAAAAAATGTGAATTTATTTCAAATGGAATTTTAGTTGTGACACACAAATTTTTAAATAACAATTTATACAAATCCAAATATTTAATGTTTCAAATCAAAAGTTATGTTTTAATGATTTAACTATATTTTTAAACTGTACACAGGGTCTTTGATTTTTTACTCCAACTGATAGATGTCGCTTAATTATGAAATCCATCATTAGACACTTCATGCAGAAGACATCTTTTCAAAAGATTCACCTGGACTTCATTTATTTTACAATCATTTACTCATCTTTAATATTTTGAATTATTGATCGATTCTGCCAAACGTATAGCCTTGTAAGTCACTGGGAGTTTAATTTCCATCTATAATGCATCTGTCTGTTTTCAACCTATTTACAGTAACATTTTCAATTTTAAAGTTTGGTTTATTTACAAATTGTATTGCATATGTTTTATATTTCAACTCAACGTTTTAATGTTTTATATAAATCATGTGTATGGAGTAGATCGTGCAAAGTCATTGTTGTGGCTCGTAGAGACAACAAGGCTTTATTGTTTCAATTTCGGGAATAGGCTTATATCTTTTTTGTTTCTTACCCCAAAAAGACCGTAGAGGATCCTATGCGCAAAAATGACTAAAACATATTTTACTTTGCGAATTGCAACTCATAGAGATTTCCTAGTCTTGGGATGATGATTGTTATTTATTGCATTGGTTTGCATTGTCTAATATTGTATTTCACTTTTATGGGTATTGCATTATCGCAATGTACATTTTATGTTGTATAATATTGAATAACATTACTTGGTAGTTTATTACATCATTGCACTAAATAACATTGTATTATATCATATTGTTGAGGATTTCAACGAGAGCTACGATAAATGAGGTTCTTTAAGTAGACACCGATTGGATGATGTAAAACCAGAAAAACACTCGTCTATTTCAGAGAAATAATTTATCAAACACTGTAAACCTTTCTAGTGGTCGTATTTGATAAACTCATGTATAAATATAAAACGGTCGTATTTAACAATAGTGGGGGTTTAGCAACTCATTTCGAATTCAAAACAACGTAAAGGTGTAATTTGTCACCCTCAGCAACTTTTCGAGGGACTCTGATTCCAACTTGTTTCTGTAAACCTTATAAAAATCGGGCAAATATATACTCCTAAGGTGAGAGCTTATCTCTTCAGATCATAGCTCTACACATTCACGTACACGTTTTCTTATAACGCGTAGCTTCACTAAATAATATTCTGTTATGATGAAAGAATATGAGATTAATGAACGCATTCTGATGGCCCATGATAAAGTCATAGTGTTCACTTTGGTCGGCAGCCAGTTGCATACGTTTTGCACCAATTAGATTACAGATATGGATATGCGTATGTTAAACGTTTTATCAAAGGTACGTATCTTGTGTCCCTGCTCCGAGCATAACAAACGACTCGCTGTTTAATGAGGGCGTTGATAATACCTGCACTTAAATAATTTGAATTAGGGATACCAATGATTCTAAAGAACAATAGTGTTTCATCTAAAATAAAAACAGTTATGTATAATTATCTCCATAATTCAAAACAATTTTTCATAACTGGGATGTTCTTAAAGCCATTCGTCTTTTAGAAAATACGTGTTTGGATTAACATTACCATGGTAGCATTAAAGCCTGTTTTGTGACATAATACACTTTTTGGATATTACCCTCTGCTGGAGGTAAACTTCCAATGTACTCTTAAAACTAGAAAGATACTATGTTCATTTAGAATGTTTAGTGAGAGAAACGCTTCGCATTTTCTGCTTTCATTAATTTTATATTCAAATTCGAATAAAAAAAGCATAACACCTAGCTTACAATAATTAAAACCTCGTCAGATCGAAACTTTGAAATCACTCATTTTTTCAGAAGTTAGTGTATGTAACCGATAAACGACGGGGTAATTAGGAGATTAGTATCTTATTATACAAGGCGAGTGGGAGGAGCTAAAGCCGACCCTTTAAGCACGGGTTACTTGAGTAACGCGAAGTGTGTTGAAGACATACATCAGACGATGGATAACCATGTGCGGTTGCATGAGAAATCTCATCGCATTTACGACACATAAAAATATGTCACGGCGGTCATGTTTTTAAATGAAAAATCTGGCATAAAAGAGTAAAATCAGCTATGGATAATGTGAGCCAGAAAATAGATAATACTTGAAATTGTACGGAAAGGCTAGAATGTAAGATACATCTTTGAAATTTTTAAGAGAAAATGAGGAGAATATACAAGACCGGAGATAAACTCTAGGCACGGGAGCACAGCTGTTAAGAGCGCCCCATCCCTCGTACCCGGTACTTCCTTATACAGGGCTACACCTCGGCTGACACAACTCTGGCGTCAAATGTCGTCTGCTTCTGCGCATTTCACTCAATTTATTACAGAAATTTCAAAGAAGTGCCTGATAATATCAGCTTTCCATGCAATTTACAATACATTCTCAA